TTTGTAGTGCGATCATGGGTCTTTCCTTGTGGGACAAACTTCAAGCAGGTTGAGTCTTTATCAGATGCACACGCAACCAACTACATTGGATAAATTAAGGGGGGACTCATGGATGATGCCAATTGAGTAAAGCACTATTATTCTTGATTGGCAAATTCTTGAGCTGGGCTGCCGTGCAGAAGTTTGCGTGTCAAGCCCCCTTTCATTTGCCAAGAATGCTTTCCACAAGTCAAGCCCCGCGTTCGCTTGACTCTTAGTGCGAGCGTGGGTCTTTCCTTGTGGGATAGTATGACCACAGATACTGAGATACTGAGTTGAACCATTCCTGAGTTTCATGTACACCTACGACATTTGCCTTGATCGTTGGAAGACATTCTGTTGACAATTGTTTTGCTGATGGACAATTGGACAGAAGATGACAGCTTCGCTTAGTGTGGTTCTACCCATCTTGACTAGTCGAAAGTGGCCTTGTCAGGGGAGCGTGAGTGGCAACCTCAGGGAGGCAGTCGTCTTCAGATGCAACGATTCTTCGAGCCAAACAAGGAGGTCTGTCGTTGGATAAACCAGAATTCAGAGCAACTCAAGGAGGTCTTATTTTTTGGCAAAACTCGTGTAGCGACTCCTGGAAAAGCTTTGCAGCCCCTTGCCCTGTAAAAGCATGAAGAATGCCGTTGAAATCGCGTTCGGCTGCCTCTTGAGGTTGAAAAACGTTGGGCGCTTAGCGGCAAGATGAACTCATCCAGAGAAGAAGTAGTTGCGCATGGATGTTCAGCAAGGTGTTGTTTTCAATTGGGGATTGTGAAAACTGGGACTTTGCCCGTTTCCTGAACCATCTGCTGACTGTGGACTTCCCATTGGCTTGAGGACGACACTTGCGTCGAGGACTGGGGAAGCTCAAAGCTCACTAAAGACTTTTGATGCCACGATGAGCATCAAGAAAAGTTATATATAGACATTCCTGCAATATGTGGGCACAGTGCAAGGTCGTCAACAGACCAAAGAAGTGTCGTCAACAGTGCAAGGTCCATTTTGGACCATCGTTCCCCTTGACCAGCTTTCTCCTTCCCCCCAAAGCAGAAGTATGAGACCCCTGTAGAAGCCCCTCCAAACACGTTGGGCCATCGCCCGGCCCCATCTTTCGAGGACCTGGGTCCACCCTGGCGGCAGGCGGATGACAGTTCCTCCATAGCTGGGACGATGGAGAAGAGTCCCGGAACTTGCAGATTTTGCGACTCACTGACTCTGAATCCACCACTTGGTGGTTGTATGTCAACGTGGGCCAACTGAAGAACCGTCGGCTCTTTTCAGCTTTGCAGGCCAACCCTGGCACCATTGCACCCTTGTGAAGAGCGAAGTGACTTCGAAGGAAGGACAAGGGGAATCGCTCCCTCCCAGGATTTGAGTCATGAATTGACGTCACTCAAAGCACCTGGAACATCGCCTTTTGGGAGAGCACTGCGCCTTCGAGCATGCCCAGCGCCTTGGAACATGCCTTTTCCCATGAAAAACTCTGGTTTTCACCCGACACCCGGGATCACTTTCTGACCTGAAGCTGCCCACTCTGTGGACTCCGTATGGACCTGAGGGCGACGTGTCGGACGCATCGGGTCTCCTACACGTCGGACCCCACGAAGGCTTTCCTTGCACCGACAGGACTCGAATCCGAACCGGAGCGCAGAGATGTGGAGTGACAGAAAGCAGTTGCCGGTGAAGTTTCATGAAACCAGGCAGTGAGTCCAGTCCTGGAATATCCTGGAAACCCAAAGAAGAAAAGTATCACTGACTCACATGAGGTCCATGTTGTCTCTCTCTCTCCTTCGGGTATCCAATCTTAAAGGCTGCGGCGCTATGTCGAGCGAGTGTCGAGCCCTTTTAGCTCTGCAATGTAGATAGATAATTAAAAATCTCAGCCACAGCCTCTAATGCTTGGGCGACTTGTTTCTGCTACAAACTAGAGAGTTGAACGCGACATACTGGGTGCCTAGTACAATTAGCTACAATGTGATATATTATGATATAATTCATTAGTGGGTGTGATGCTTGCAAGAAAAGGTCCAAGAACATGCTGTGAAATTTGTGCTGACTCGCACTTGATTAAAGCCGATTAATGCAGCAAAAATGGGTTGGAATGACAGATAGTCGATCTCAAGATTGAACTTGCTTCAGCGTGGGATCGTTTTCCTTGCTTGAATTTATGTGAGGTTTGCACTGGTTTGTCAACTAAAGCTATTCCCAGCTGATGCACAGGGCTTCAATGCATGTTAATGCTGATGTTTGTGCCCCTGCAACGTCTTTTTGGCCGATTCTTTTTCTGCAATTCAGTCAACATGAAGACACCTTACGTGATGAAGTCCAGCCCAGTTCAAACATGAAAGACAGGGCCCAACAGCCTGGACCTCTGAGATAGCTTGCAACAGAACTTGGCATATCGGAGCACTTCTTTCTGTGGGATTGACAAGCAGCTATGGCAGGCAGGATCTACATCTTGGAATCTTGTGTACTGAGTGTACTGAGCATCTGGCATGGTCTACGACAATTGTGAAGGGTTCCAAAGGAACATGACCAGAGGGATGGAGAGATGGCTCGTGACGAGAAACTAGAGAGGGCAAGGCCTCGTTCTGTTGGGATGTTTGGGTTTGTGGAAGGTTTGAACACCCGGTTCCTGGTGGGTATCCAGCCTCCTTCTCCCAAAGCGATGGCCACCTCCACTAATGATTTGGTTCCTAGATTTGTAGGGAAATTTAACTATAGCGATGGCCTCCCACCTAATAGGAATGGCCTCCCAAATTTCTTCCGCGCTGTCTTGGGACACATCACCACCATCCGTTCGGTCTCGGCTTTGCATGACGGCAGATCTGGCGTTTTTGGCACCGGTGGCCGAGCGGCTGCCACCAGTGAAGGTTCGGGCGGTTGGGGGGGACATGACAAGAAGCCTTATGCTGCGCAGTTGCACGGAGTCAAGACAAGCTTTTTTCCTTGTGGAAGTCAGAAGACAATCTTTCAGATGTCAATCCAAGACAAACGTGGTTAAATTCTTGTTACTAGTAGCTTCTTGTTACTAGTAGTAATGGCCTCCAACCTAATAGCAATGGCCTCCACCTAGTAGCGTCCCTGCTCCTGCGGGGGTCATATGGGGTCATGTACAATCTTTGGGCCATGAGGCCTTGCGCGTACGGAGCCCTCAACCACTTTGACATCCCCCAACGTGTTGAGGCGGAAACCGCAGCGGCGGCAGCGGCTGCCCGGCCAGCCACTGATTTCCGTCTTGGTGCCACGGTGGGCGTCTCGGGCGCTCTGCTGGTGGCTGTGGCCCATCGGAGGCAGGTGGCTGAAGCGAGCACAGGCGTAGGGAATTCATGATTCAATAGGATTTTCTAACTCAAGTGGAAAACAACATGAAGAATACTATACATCCCAATACAAAGCCTTTTAAATTGAGACGTACGGAACTTCATCAGGTCTTGACCCGACCCTGCATTGTCTCATTCAAACTGCCTGCCAGGCCACTTCAGCGCCGCCTCAAAGCGGGGCTCAAGATCGTTCGCCAGGCTGCGAAGAGCAAGACCGCTTGTGGCTGACGAGATTTGCCTCAAGAAAGTTCTATTTCAAGAAGCCTCACTCGTTGTCGAATAAAGTGGAATACAGCTGAACACCCTTTGCTCCTTCTGATCTGAATGGTCGAAACAGCAGATTCAAGTGTATGCCATCAGTTGCTCTTGCATGTTGGTCAGCCACTGTTGGACTGCTCTACTTCTAGCAGCTCTGCTGGCTCCGTTGCTCCGTTCAGCCGGATAGAGAGCAAGGCTCCCATCTCAAAGAGATATGCCAATGATTCCCGTGCCGCAAAGGGCTCAGAACACCTCCTTGAACCAAAGATACAGCCTTGTAATTGACCTTTTTTTGATTTTGCTAAGCTGCGAAGGCATGATCATGTGTGATGGCAAAGCGAAGCCCTGCAACGTGCCTTTCAAATCTCATGGTTGATCTCCATGTTTCATATTTTTTTCAATATTTTCATAATTTGTCCACTACTTCACCTGTTCCCCAAGTGCTGAATGAATGCCCCAAAGACATCTCAACAAAGCTTGATCCAAGACATGACTCTGCCATGGTTGAACAAGTGCATGTGAGCGTGGTGGGCCCTGGAAATCTCTCCATTGGCTGGGCCAGTACAGAGAAGGCCCCTTTGGAGTTGCTCGGAGTCGACGTGACCGGGTTGAACAGGAGAGATGCTAAGGGATTTTGGAAAAAACTTTCAAAAAGGAATCATATATATATATATATGTTCCTAGTAGCTTCTTGTTTCTAATAGCTTCTTGTTACTACTAGTAAGGCACTTGTTACTAGTAGAGATGCACTTGTTCCTAGTAGCTTATTATATATGGACATTTGATGACATTTGGGTGGAAGATGCTGGAAGTATGCACCCCATCCCCGAAGATACGAAGAAGTAATCATTCTTCATGTCGAGCATTGTCAAGCGAACCTTTGATGAATTTCCAGCAAGAAAGGCATCCGGCCTGTCAGTGAAGACCTTGTGTGCCTTCCTTCTTGCAAAAGCGAACAACCACTGTTTTTCTCGGTTCAAACCTCAGTGGCTCAGTTCCCTGCTTCGACGTCTAACGACCCGAGGTTCCAAGAGCTTGACCAGCAGCAACAGCCATTGGGGGAGATCAAAAGCATCAGGCGAAAAATGGCAGAATATTCTTATGACAAACTTTGAGTTCTTATGGCAATGTCATCAAATGCAAACTTTGAGTCGAAGCTCGCGATGAAACGAGACGAATCTCTCAGAAACGCAAACTCTATCTAAAGCTCCAGAATTGCCGATTTAGCTGTGGTGATCTGCGTTTCTTCGGATTGCTGTGAGTCCCGAAAGCGACCGCTATGAGCTCCTGTGTGGCGAGCGCTTTGCCCTGGACTCACCTTGTGCGCTGAGGACGAGGTAGGCTCGCTGAATTCAAAAATGGAAGGGAATATGGGAGATTCTGGATGTTGTGTATAATTGATGCTATTTGTTGGTATCGGAAAATCAGTCGAATTGCAAGCTTTTGCCACCCACAGAATTTCTGCAAGATTGGAGGTGTCAGCTGGGGCTACATGCAGCTAATTCCAGGAGTGTTGTGAAGTAGAGGTTACCAGGCCTACGTCAAACTTGAGCCAGACACACTTTCAGGTATCGAAGCCCTTTGCTTCTGCAAGCTCGGGTAAGTCTTGAGCCAGGCAAAAGCTTTCGTTGCTTGGAAGATCTTGGGTTCTACCATGCGCCCCGGAGAAAAGACACCAACGTCGTGTGAGCTTAATTGTGTCGATCCCATCGTGCTGAACAGGCTCGAGGTGGGCCGTTTGCGGTTATGCTGGTGCATGCCAGCGTATACTTGGTGCACCAGGTAGCTTCACTTTCGGATCCATGGATCGGCTGGCCCGGAGGCGAGGCCATCGCTATTCGGTTGGACCGTGAAAATCCGAGGCTTTCGTCTCCACCCTGGTCCCACCGACTGGCGAGTGCAGCGGGTGCCCCCGGCGCCCGGGGCAGCGGTGCTGCGCGTGGCGATGGTGGGATGCTGGGAGTAATGACTCGTTTGGTGAAGAGCATCGTCGATTTCATCCGATCTTTGTTTGAGAAAAGGTTGGATCAATCTGGACCTTGTAGAGTTAACTTGGAATTGTACAGAATCTTGACAAACAGTACGTAACCTTTAATAACTCGTTTAATGACCCTCCTCCATTTGGATTGACAGTGCATGATGGCAGACTCAGAGGGTGTCGCTAAGGAGATTTGGGTCAAACCAACTTTAGTGCTGCGACCTGCCAATCTATTCGTGCACATGCGAATGAGCTGGATATGGGCGTGATTCTAGGCTGGCGGTCGGCGAGCTGTATCCTGCGCGGATGCCATTTTTTTTTTTTCGGAACAGAGGACTCTGGTAGGACACGTTTTTTCACATTTTAGTGCACTGCAGTGCTGCTGCTTCACCTTGGCATTGTTGTCCCCTTTTCATGTGCTTGACACAAACAACCTGTGTGATTTTCTGGCCTGCAGGGGACCTCGCCTACGCAGACTCTAATGCTAGCCGGTGGGACAGCTTTCAACGTCTTTTCGACCTCCAGGGTTGTGCAGATATCCCTTGGCTGGTGCTGCCTGGAAATCATGACGGGCTTGACATTTCTGATGTCGTGCTACGCCTCTGTGCGATTTTTTGCTTGGAGAACGTGGAAGACGGATGATAATTAGAGGTTGAAAGGAACTCATGATATATAACCTGAATTATATAGTTAATTAATATTCATATTAATACAAGATAATACAAGTATGACGGGCCAGTCTGAAGAGTAAGATCGTAATACCCAAAATGGCCGATTTTCAAACACATACCCCGGTTAGATGGTGGGGACGCTGCAGGAGATCGAACCCGATGATTTGAGCGGGGAAGCCTTTGTTCCCTACCGCAAGCGCTGGAGAACTCCAGAAGCCAAGCCAGAAGAGGTCACCAATGACACGAAGGCGGAGATGACTCGCAGCGGTGGAGTGGTATCGGCTTCTTGCTCCTAGTAGTAAGGCCAGGAGCCCCTAGTAGCTTCTTGTTACTACTAGTAAGGCACTTGTTACTAGAAGCGATGCACTTGTTCCTAGTAGCTTCTTGTTCCTAGTAGTAAGGCCAAGAGCCCCTAGTAGCTTCTTGTTACTACTAGTAAGGCACTTGTTACTAGAAGCGATGCACTTGTTCCTAGTAGCTTCTTGTTCCTAGTAGTAAGGCCAGGAGCCCCTAGTCGCGTCTTGCCCCTGTGCTGATGGATGTTGCAAGGTAGTTCTTTCGTGCGATCTGCATCTCTGCCGAGGGACGCGCGCGCCCGGTCTGGCGTTGGGCGTGGCGTTGTGACGAGGTGATCAGCTGGCACCGCTACGACCTGCGCTGTCGCTACAACTTCGGCAGCTCGTGGTATGCCTTCAGTGCAGGACCCGCGCACTTCGTGGCGCTGAACCCGCACCTGGGCGTACTGTCCACCATCACTGGAGTGTTGGGAGTGTTGGGTTGGGAAGACCTATACTTATTCCTTCAAGGGGTTGACCCAAACAAGATCAAGATCCCAGTCACCACAGCCGGAACTGCAGTCCTGGTGGGAAACCTCTTTCACCATTTCACATCCCTTCCACTGGCTGGCTGTGGAAACGTTGGATCTGAAGTTGCTATGGAAACCAAGCACTTGAGACTCTTCACTCCTCACAGGTACACCGAGGCCTCTCCGGATGCAGCACAGATCCAATGGCTCCGGGAGGAACTCATGAAGGTCCGCCGGACCACGACGCCTTTCCTGGTGGCACCCTGGTCACGTTGGGAAACGACCCGGGAGACACCGCCTTTCACGTGGGTTCATCCCGGCACCGTTGTCCCTTCCCGGGCGGTCGCGCCATTGGGCCAGATCGCCGAGTTCGCACCTTTGGAACTTTGGAAAGGGCTGAAGGCTGAGGTTGTCTGGGCTGAAGGCTGAGGTCTCTGATTTGTGCATCTGACAGCGGACACGGGATGTTTGATGACATGTTTGATGACATGTGGATACAAATGTGGTGCAAGTGGGGGATCATGTCTCTCGCAGTTTCACATAGTTTCACTGCGTCGTTCTGAAGCAGTGGGTCCCGCGTCTGTTTGAAGCTGTGCTTCTTGGTGTGATGAAGCGGTGGTAAGCGGGCAAAGCAAGGCCTGGTGACATGGAGGTGGGTGTGTTAGTTCCAAGATGGGTGAATCACACAACATTCATGTGGGTGATTAGAATGATTTGTGATGCGGTGTTGGACAATGAACGTGAGGTTTGATGCACAAGAGTTTTCTTGTAGGGGGCGTATGTTTATTCTGCTCAGCCAGGTTGACTGGAGTTGCTTTGCATTCGGGTTCACAGGTTCCATCTTGTTTTGAATTTGCTGACATAATAATTTGGTTAGGATTGAATGTTACGTCCATTTTTGATCATTGAGGTGATAAAGTAAAGCTTCACTGAGGTTCTGACACATGCACCCTGGGTGCATTCTTCCAGAGTTCATCAGCCACAGACCGAGGCACGCCCATTGCAAATTGGTCTGGACCGGTAAAGCAAGGTGACAATGTCATGGTTTGCTGGCCTGTGGCCTTCTTTAAATCCCACTCAAAAGGAATCCTTTCCAGACCGGACCATCCCTTTTGATCCCTTTTGACTCATTTGATGTCAGATGGCAACGTTCCATTTGCGTTCTTCCGCCGAGCCATTGCTGTCCACGATCCTCGGCTTTGAAAGAATGCACGACTTCCCTCCATGCGTTCAACGAACAACGTCGACACCCTCATCGGTTCCGATCTCAGGATGGACCTGATGTTCAGTGGCCACGTGCATGCCTACGAGCGGTCAAAGCCTGTAGATGGGGTTCAACACTTTGTGCTGGGCCATGGTGGAAACAATGATGCTCGACATTAAAACATAACAAGAAGCTACTAGGGGCTCTTGGCATCGCTACTAGGAGCAAGGACGCTACTAATTAGGGGCTCCTGGCCGTACTACTAGGAGCAAGTAGCTACTAGTAACAAGAAGCTACTGTAGGGGCCTTAGGGGCTCCTGGCATCGCTACGAACGCAAGGACGCTACGGAACTCGTAGCTCCTGGCCTTACTACTAGGAACAAGGTTCGCTACTAGTATACGTAGTAACAAAGGTTTACTGGGCCACGTGGTTCTCATCCAAAAGAAGGACAAACGCACAAGGCTCCCTATGTAGAAATCATTGCTCATGCCTTTCATCGTCATCATCGTCATCATAAATTTAGCAGTGTCCATAGGTCACCAAACTGGACTCTTTTTTGAATTTACGTATGTAGATGTTTTGATGTATTCATTGTGACCCAGCTGAGGAGAAACTCTACAACAGATGGCAACAAAGTGCTGTCTCGGCGTTTCTTTGATGTATTATGATTCATGTATTTAATCGTGGGAAGTCTGAGGGTTGAATTCGAACGACTTCTGCCACAGTCCCAAAAAAGCAGGTGATCATTTAATTTGACGTGAGATGAAGATCGTGCAGCAAGTATAAACTGGAAACGTGGATACTGAAATCAGAAATCCATTGGACAACAATCCTGGAGTCTTTGTTGAGTAGAGGGTCCTCCGCTACCTACACTACTGCGTACAGGCACGCAACCTAGGCCTGCGAGCTGGCAGAGACTCCAGAGGCTCTCATGGTGCATCAACCCCAAAATGGATACAGTATTAGAATTTATATAAAGTTATATAGTATAATAGTATATAAGATTATTTCATCTTAGAAACGATCGGATTTGATTGAGAAGAGATCATAAATAGAAGGCCCTTCTATTTATGGTCTCTTCTACAATTTCATCAGGACTTCGTCTCACCTACACTCTGCCCCACATGACCTCTCCACGCACCGAACACTCTCCCCTCGAATTTCGGGAGCCAAACCCACCAATTTCTCCATGCCAGGCCTTCACCTTCGGTCGCGTGAGGGACACGCCGGACACGCGTGGAGCGACGTGAGCGACCGGGCGGGGCGGGCCGGTCGCTAGAGGTTTCGCTCCGGAGACCACTACGGCTGGGGCCTGCTGACGCTCGAGGGCTCCGAGGGCCACTGGAGAGCTTTGCGCTCGGTGGATGGTCACGTGGAGGAAGAGAGGACGCTTGGGAGGGAGGACGGTGAGTCGGAGTGAGACGGTGGGTTTGGGTTTGAGGTTTGAAAAGATCCGGTTTGGTCTCTGAAACCTTGGACCAAAGGATGGAAAAGAGAAAGTATGAGAAAGTATAGAGAAGAAGCCACGGATGTTTGGCCTTCGGTTTGGAGGCAAACCCACGTGACTGGTGCATATGGATAGTGCTCTTTCAGACCTTTCAGGTGTTCAATTGGGTCAGCGTCACAGGTGGCACTCATACCAGGTTTGGAGATGTTTTGGGCAGATCTCGCAGTGTAATGACGTGTGATCAACACACATCGGGGGCACCATGATAGACCACAATGGGTACATCACCGACCACATCCCGCTGCCTGGGCAACAAGAACGTGTGATTTCACACCACAAAAACGTGGTGAAATCCAATCTCAGCACCTTGTGGTGCCGTTCAAGGTGCTGTGGTGGATTCCATAAGCCTGGCCGCGCGTCGGATGCCTGACCTGGCCGCTGACCTGGCTGCTGGAGACTCCGCGGGTCAAAACGGAAGGAAAGGTGAGACAGGACCAGTGTGGCCCAAAGCCCCTGTTTGGGTTACTAAATGGTGAGCATATTTAGGAAAACTTCATCTTTGGACTTGGGTCACTTTAGGACATCGTCCAAGATTTGATCTCAGCTGGTAGCTGGCTCCAGCATGAGGAGACTCGGCTGCCGCGGCAGCGGCGAGCGTGCTGGTTTGCCACTCGGCTACGTCTTCAGTGCCTGACATCGATAGCCTCCCGACTTCTCCACACATTCCCACGACCAGTCCCGACCAAAATGGTGCTCAAGACGACAAACTCATTAGAGCTGCTAGAGCAGAATTTTCAGCCAGAGGGAGTGAGCCAGAGGGAAACAGGAAGGCAGGATCTCAATCTCGATCTTATGCAGCTGCTTTCGCTCAAGAGGCCTGAAGATCCTGCCGAGAAGACCTTCCACAGCTGTCTTCTCACCAGAGTCTGGGCGACTCAGCTCATCCAGTCCAGAGACAGTTGTCAAGTCACTTGGAAGGACCTCAAAGTGTCGATCGACCCAGCCCACCAGAGCCCACCAGAGGTGCGCTCCACTGAAGAAGGCTTCTCTTCGTCCACGTGGCTGCGTGCAGAGGTCTGAGACGGGATCCTGATTTTGGAAAAGTCAGGGGCGTTCCAGCCCCAAAGGAAGACCGCAAGGCCTGTTGTGGAAGGAAAAAGGTATAGAAAGCCCAAACTAGGACCGCCGTGCAATCGAGGTCTTGGCAGCTGGCCACGGAAATCAGGGCTGAGCTCAATGACGGCAGATTTTTTCACATGCTTTGCAAAAAGGGCTCCGGAATCTTCGCAACTCCGGAAGCGAGCTGACAGTTGTGCAGAAGATTGTGCTTGACATGCTGAAGCTCTCTCAAAAACGAAGCGTCCTGGCCAACAGGTCAATATTCCGCAAGAATGAATTCCCAGGTACGGTTGGGCTTGGGATTCCGCTGTCTCCGTTTTGAAAGGTTGGAAGGTGCAAAGCCAGGACGCCCGTCAAACAGCAGTGCCCCAAGCCCACGGCGCCTGGCACCGCTGCTGCAAAAAGCGGTCTTAACTTGCAGTTCTCGCTTCCTGGAAGACAGGCTCTAAGATGAGGCGGACGCCTTTTCCTCCAAGACCTTTCGGAGAAGCGCTGAGCTACCGGTTGTAGCGGGCACGCTGCCAAGTTAAAGGCATGTTACTGGCGGGAATCTTGTTTTTGCAGCGCTTTCAGGACCCCCAACAAGGTGCGGCACACGTTGCAATTGACCCCATGTGTCCCCAAACCAAAGGCTTGGAAAAGGCATCTGGAACTTATGAACTCTCACGTTCTGATTCTACCAACCAAGAAGCTTAGGATTTTTGGTGCAGGGCCAGGTGGCATGGGCTCGCAAAGGTGTTTGCTCGGTTGGGTTTGTCTCGATAAATCCGATAGGGTCGTTCAGGGCTGTTTTCCGGACCATGAAATTTTTGTGGGTCGTCGGCTTGCGCCTTTTGGTCGTCGGTTCGGGGGTTCCATTTAGTCGTTGCTTCAATGCCCTTCTGGTGCTTAAACCTCATTATCAGGTGCTTATTTGGGGAACAGGGTGTTTAATTGCAAGATTGAACGTGGACCCGTCATGTCCCGTCCAACATGACATTTCGTCAAGTTCAATATTGTGGTTGCCCCTTGCGCGCGCAGGACCATTGTAGTGGACATCGGAAATTGCCTAGAAAGCCAACCGAGCCAGAGACATTAAGCAGTTCTGATGTTTTGGCAATCAAGGGGCTATTCGCAGTGCAAGGGGGCTGGAAGCACGGAGTGACCGAGGTTTGGGCTGCTGCCACTTGGATTGCGCAGAGGATCTCGTATGCGTTGATTTGCTCCGATGCGTTTCCAGTACCGCGATTGTCAACATCATCGTTTGTCCATCCAGTGTTCTTCGACAGCATCTTGAAAGACATAATCGAGTCATTTGGTATCATTCGAGGTCTGTGCTTGTGCTGTTGCTACCTTTATCGCCGTGCGCGCTTAGCAGATGAAGAAGAAAAAAACGCATTGAGACATGCCGTCACGTACGGCAATGCCATGTGATGCGGAAAATTGAGCGGTGAGACTCGGAGGATGGGAGGTTTGGATGACCTATAGGTTTCCAATGTTTTCAATTTTTTGTGACGAAGTGCATTGTTAACACTTGTTATCAACTAGTTTCCCTGTTGCATGTCCCTTAAAAATCGACATTTTTCCAAATGTTTTCAATTCCATTCCGGGTGCAATCCCAATCCCAGTGTGACTTATCGTTTTCGCAGGCCGAAGACGCTGAGGCCCGTGCATCGCCACAAGTCAGACATATGGAGACGGTCGTTCGTTGTATTGACTGTCCTTTTCAGAGCATAGCATCGGGGATCCACAATCATGAGCGTTATGGATGATTCAAAGCTGGGAGGGAAAGCTTGCACTCCTGACAAATACATTGCCCGTGACACAACACCGCAACACATTTTTCTTTGGAAACTGGACTGGAATAGCGCGAAATCACCTTAGGATTTCCCCGGTTTTTATGGTTTATGTATCTTTGTGGCCATGCTATGCTTTGTAAGGGCTGGGAACGGTGATTGATTCGGTCACTGCTTACACCACTGCCAGGCTGGTGTCGTCCAGGAGGCGCAGGGATCTACATGGGAGCTGAATCGTCATGGGATCCTGATCCAGATGAACCATGACCCCAGTACGTGCCGGTATGAATAGACCTGGTTAGCAAAGAACTGAGACACTTTGGTTGAAGCAAGTCTTCAGTCTTCTAGTCGTTCCAGTTTGCATCTTCCCTAAGAATCAAGGACCCTTAAAGGTGAAGGTGTTGAGGGTCCAAATCCCTGCTATGCAGGGTGAAAACACGTGAAAACCCGAAGTGGTTGGGTCTGCTTAGGGTTGAAAGCGCTCAGGACTCTGAGGCAGAGCAAATCTTTCGCGAGGCCTATGAGGCCGAGGCGCCCGCACGCCGACCCGTCGGCGACTCCGCTCGGCTCGGCGATCCGAAGCGACCCGTCCGACCCGTCGGTGTGGCCCAAAAGAGCTCCCAGGTGTCGGCGTTGTTCGGCGTTTTCGGTGTCCGCCTTTCGTCCGAATTCCATGGCTTCAACGGTTTCAACGTGTTGCATACAAGTTCGCGAGGCAGAGAGAGCTGCATTGATGAGCAAGCAACTGGAGGCCGCTTGCAAGATGTCGTGGACGCTGGATGATGGTGTTCGGATGTGTTAGGCCTCCAAGTCGCGCCGTGAAAACCATGTGTTTTCATTTAGGCACCTCCTCGTCACCCTGTTCGTGTTTTCAATCCACAAAGAGTTTGAAAGCAAAAAACTTGTCACAGCCAGTAAGATTTATAGATATAGATATAGATGTATATACAAATTTATAGATATACATATCGATCATATCCAAAATATATATATAACATATGGCAAATAGATAGATATTATACATCCATCATCCAGCTATATTGTAATATAAAATATACACATCCAAAGAAAGGAGATGACGAGCACGGTGCCAGTGGTACGATGCCAGGCTGCGCTGGCAGAACAACTGGGCGCACCAGCAGGCCCGCATGTGCAAGTGTTCGACCGTTTGAGCAGATCCATTGTGTGAAATGCTGATGGTTTGAGCAGATCATGTTTGATCGTTTCCATACCATGCTGTCGTTGTAAATCCATGATTGGTGAGCCACATTAGCAGCATGTGCATGCTTTTTGGGGCAGCTGCATAAAATGTTTGAGGCATCACGATCAACATCGAGGCAGGGGCTGGTGCAGTCTCGTGAGCATTTGGTTGGCACAGATCAACCAAAAAGCATCAAAAAGCACTTATCCACATTCATCAAGATTGCAGCTCCTCTCTGCTTCCTACCCGAGCACCATGTTTTTGTAAGGCACCTGCAGCTCCTTCTCCGAACGAAACTGGGGGAACCACCTGGCGCAAAGCCTACGAGGAGCCAGCACTTGTGGGTCTGTGGGTTGGATTGAACATGAGGAAACGAGGTGAGGATTTGGTTGGGATCAAAATGATATAGATCAGAGAAAACATGAAGGCTCGACGGAATTTCCAGGGTTCGGCCATCGTATAAGCTGTGTTTATCCATACCAAGCTGGAGGACATTAAGGCTCGAGCCGCTTCCCTGGAAAGCCAACTGCAAAAGGCGCGGCGTTGGGCACCCAGGTGTCTGTTCGGATCGATCTATATAAGTTCACGCAGGTCAAGGGGCTTTGAACAGAGCACGTTGTTTTTTGCTTGACTATTGATAACTATTGTATAAATATTGTTTGTATTTTTTTCTTCCTTAAATTTTAGATTGAGATGTACCATCGTTGTTTTGAACTGATAGATTATTCTTCCTCAGTATTGAAAAGGGCTGCAGAGCTTGTTTGGTATGAAGCAACTCATTGCTGTTGATCCTACTTGACTTGATGCTCCGAAAAGACTTCTACCGAAGAAGACTGAGTCGCATGCCGAAGCCGTCGAGCGCAACCTCTCTGAGGTCTCTCTGAACCCGTCGAGCCCAAGGAGACTGAGGCGGCCAAGGTGGCTAGTTGGGTGTTTCACATCCTCGAAGCGACCGAACGTGCTGACACGCGTGTTTGAGCATCACAAAGAAGCGACATGGCCGGACAAACATGGCCCATTTGGCTCTCCTTTTATGTGAGAGTCAACCCCTGCCCGAACGATACCGGCCAGGGAGGTCTTTCAAAACCGGCATGAAACCACAGACCCACATCGCCCACCCCCGCTTTTGACAGGAGACTTGTTGTCAGCTCAAGCCTACGGATACTCTCATTGCTGAAACACAACTCACATCGGTTGGCGCTGGACAATCCGTCCCTTCCAAGCCAGGGCAAGAAAGAGGTGACAACTTTACACCTACTCCAACAGATCTTTTTTGAAGGTGGCCAGGTGTGTTGCCCTGGCTTCAGCATCCGGCTATTTAGAAACAAAAGGGCTTTCTTGGAAGCCAATACAAGACTACAATAATGCCTGTTGAATCAAAGCTGCCGCAAGGCTGAAGCCAACTTCTCCAGCGATACTGCGGCGTCTTCAACAACACAAACCACTCAAACGAAGCTTGGTTGGCAGACTCATCATTTTCTGATATTTTCTGCACGTTTGCAGGGTGATGACATGCTTTTGTTCTTCATGTGTCCCTCGGATACTGGGTCAACATGGGTCAACAACTTAGGGAATACTATTCATTCGCTTGTTCTTCAGGTACCTGTAGACATACGGTAGGCTCTCCGAGCTTCCCAAACAAGGCGGGCGGATGTTGCCGTGGGCCTCGGTGTCAGTGCCCAGTGGCCTCGGTTGGTCGATGGCAACCGTTGTTCGGTCTGAGGAATGTGCCTCCACCACAAGGCATGCAAGGCTCTTCGGGTCAGTCGACGGGGAGGGGCGAAGTGTTGGGGATGCAGTCGCGACGTGGTGCTCGTCTCTTTTAAGGGATGTTATGGAGATTTCCTTTTTTGAGACTTGGGGCTTGACCATTGAATTGTTGGTCGATGAGAACCGCTGCCATTAGGCTTTGAGACCACTAGAACAGGGACAGCCTGATGTTTGCTGTGTGCTCACATGCAGAACGAACAACCGGACATCCAAGAAAAAGGAAAGGACTAGATGACCAGAACAAGGCCTTGAGACTTTTTCATGCAAGCTATTTCTGCAAGTGTAAAGCATACACTGACATACATGCAAGTTGTGTCCCCTTTTTGTCTGAGATGTAAGATACGCACATACATACTCAACGCGCAGACAGACATCTAGACTAGACTACTTTACGTGTTTACTTCACTGACTCGGACTGCGCACATGGTATCCTCCGCGAATGATCTCCTTCTATGATTGGGCCCCAGCCCAGCAAACGCATCAAGGAAATGGTCACAATCCTGTAGTCGAGGACCCTGTGGCACAGAATGACACTGAGCTACAAAAGGCGATTTGCCAAAAGATCCAGGATGCTGTTGACATTTCCGATGTCTTCAACAAGGTGGCCATCCATGCAGGCAAGGCCAGCCCCAAGACCTTGGTCTATGCCGTGCATCGCATCGCGCGGTACTGTCGCCTCCGAAGACAAGACATCGGTCCGACCCGTCGGGCGGCGCGTTTCCTGTCACTCTTGGAGAACTTGCAGAGGAACCTGGCCACCTTGGACGCACAGGCCTTGACGGACTTGAGTTGGTCCCTGGCTGTCCTGAACCATCGAGAGAAGAAGATTCTCGCAGGTCTTTGTCATCAGCTTTTTGCGCGAGTGGACGACTTTAGTCCAGCCAATCTGGCGATTAGTGCCTGGAGCTTTGCTACCCTGAACTATCGTGATGATCTGGTCATGAAACGGCTCAATCGCCAAGCGTTGGGACGGCTTCAAGACTTTGAGGCCCAAAGTTTAGCCAATCTGTCCTGGGCCGAAGCCACCATGCGCTTCAAGGATGATGTACTGATGCACCACATTGCTGGAGAGGCGTTGCGAAAGATGGATCGTTTCTCTCCACAACATGTGGCCAACACTGCGTGGGCGTATGCGACCTTGGGGCGCAGGGCCAATGCTTTGTTTGAGGCTTTGGAGGGAAGGGCTTTGCAGCTGCTCAATGAAGATGCACCTGACTTTGTGCCCTTGGACCTTGCCCTTTGTGCCTGGTCTTTCGCGTGGCTAGAGCATGTGGGACCACATTCAGAGCTCTTGCATGCCATTGCTCGGGCAGCATTGAGGCGCTTGGATGAGTTCAGCACACAGCAACTGGCAAATATGCTTTGGGGATTAGACCACGCAAACTATGTGAATCCAAGCTTCTTTGAGACTGTGGTGCGATGGTGCTGTTCGCGACCGATCAGCTTTTGGCAAAGGGCTGCTGGTGAAGAGATGGTGTCAGTCATGACTGCGCTGCGTCCTTATGCATCTGGCCATCCGGAATGGAGGCAACTTGAGGCGTTCTTCACCACTGAAACCTTACGCCCTTTGGCACGCTTCCTGTGCTCTTCCAACACATCAGAAGGCTATGTTCAGGGGCTGCGCCAGTTGCGGACCTACCACGGTGGTGCTCTCTACACCTCCTGGC